TAGAGTCCCTTTATACTGAGAGTCAAGACAACACCCTTCATGGAGTCACAAACGGGAATAAAGATTACAGAAATTGAACGTTTTTCGTAATCTTTGATCGGCCCATTCTCGAATTCCTTTCTTCGTTCCTTCCCTCATTCCGTTTGTTCCTTGCCGAACCCGTAATTCCCCGTTCCATTCCAGATTATAATCTTTGCAATCGGTGAAACTGTAATCTTTATTCCCGTTTGTGACACTGTGAAGGCCTAAAATCCGGTTAACCAATCAGAAATGGATTCGCATTGTCTTGACTCTCAGTATAAAGGGACTCTAGTAGGAACTATGAGACGGCGCGCGGCATCTTCCGCGATGTTCATCGTGTCCTATGTGCTTAGTGGGTAGCCGTGCTGATGGCATGCTGATAGATTCACACGGGTTTTTTATTTTGTGTTTATATTCACCTAACCTCAAACCAGAAAGCACCTTTATGAGCTCTTTAGTCATCTTTAACATAGTATGTATAAAATGATTGTAATAAATGTTGTGACTCCATATTGTGCTTGTCCTCCAATAGAACATATTTTGAATCCTTTTCTATGATAAGAAGTGCGTTTCATCATCGTCAGGACTATTGATCTATTTTTGTCACTCTTTTTTTTCATCCGTATCATGATTACGATGATGAACCCCTTGCGCACTTCATCACTTCTGTTCCTCTTACTACTGTTTTTTCCACCAATAATGTGTAAACATTTTCTACCAGTTGTTATGTGGCATGGAATGGGTAAGAATAAACATTTAATTGCTTTTTGTATCCGTCCTAGAGTATTCAAAGGAATAAATAATGCAGATTCAAGATGCTCTTGCAGATGTTAATCTCTTTTGCATGGTGGTCATTGGTGCTAAAAGGGACATAGCAAGTAGCTAGTAATTCTGAGGCTCCAAGCTTTGCCGTGCTACTCTTTCAATTTTTTTTAGTCACATTCTTTTCAGAGGAAGAGCTAGAGCACTGAAGTAACAATCCAAATGAATTAGCGAAGGCTTCAGTGCAAAAAAGCAGGTCTTTTGCCAGGCCGTATCAATTTTTTTAGATATTTCTTTCAAAGTTTGCCCTTGAAACCTCCAGAACGTAGGTCATAGCATATGAGTTGTAAGTTTGATGTAGGTACCCCCTGTTAAACCGTGACGTTACGCTAAAAGTAGCTTCGAAATTATTACTCTCAGGGTTTGAGAAGAAACAATTTACCGAGCATGGTATAACCGAGAAAAGAAAAGAATGGATTAAAGTCACACCAACCTGAATGCATCAACCATCAATCAGTTCATTGGTTAGCAAATAAATTTCTGTTGATTGGTGCCATTTTCTGATGTGATTTTTGTCCATTCTTTTCTTTCCCCAGTTCCAGTGCTCTTTAGACTTCCTCTCTCTATTGGACGTTCCCTAGACTCCCATGCACCCTGTTCAAATTACGGATCCTTCAGCCAATAGCCCTCAAGAGACTGTCATTCTTGATCCTTGTTTTGGGATTTGGGCTCATTCATTTTTGACTTGACATTGTAAACTGCCTCCAAATTATATTACAGTTTTTCTACGTGTTTTGCATACGCTGAATGTATTATTGATAATTTCAGGTGATAACTATCTCGGGCTTTCAGGCATCAAGTCTTTCATTCAGAGTAATGTTCCCTCTAACGCTAGTATTTTTGTTCATTCTCTCCGAATTGGAAACACGGTTTTAGAGGTGAGATGCTTTTGCAATTTCTACGTTTATCTGTCTATTCTTTGTAGTTAGTGTCTGATTTATATTGTAATTTAGACCACACAATTTCTAGTTGAAATATTGAGACAGCTGATCACAGTGAAAATTGCATGTACCTACACTGTTATACAATAAATTCAAACACAAAATAGTACAGCCATCGGATAATTAAAATCACTGCTAAAAACCTGGGAACAATTTTGTTTGATGAAAACACAAATTTTCAACAACAAATCTGTCATGAAAACAGTAGAAAAGTTCCTCAAGTTTTGAGACAAGAACGCTAACCCAGATAGTTTTTGTAAGCATTTCTATTCTACATTCACAATTGGTTGTGAAGTAGCAAAGATAACTTTTCATTTAAATTATTAGATTGAATTTATAAAAGTTAAAATAGGCTTGTAAAATATAAGAAATTTATCAGATGTTGTAGACACTTTTTAATTTTGCTTGCTAGTATTCTATTATATCTTGTTTTTGACCTCCTGCAGGACACAGAGAATGGATACCTCTTGAATGCAAATAAGCAAGTTGAATTTGTGTGTAAGGAGTTACTTTCAATGCCAGAGATGGAAGATGGTTACAATGCAATAGGTTTCTCTCAAGGCTCCCAGTTTTTGTAAGTAATTCTTCTACGTTGGAACTGAATACGTTTTACTGCACCTCCTCTCTGAACATCTAGAATTTCTTGCTCCCTCCTCTTTTCTTTTTCTGTCAACGGATTTGCTATTTTCACTCCCTGTTAATTTTATACATTCAATACATGGTGTAGTTAACAAAAACAAAATCTCATTGCAATTTTGTAGTATGCAATTTTTTTTATTACTATTACTTAAATTGGGTATTATCTGGGAGCTTTTTTTCTTCGTTTTTTTTTTTATAGGAAAAATTTTGGATTTAATGTTTTGATTAACTGACTGACACCTTGGTAATTTAATTTAATAGTAGCAGCCCAGTACATTGCAATTCTGTTGTATCCTATGGGTATAATAGTGATCCTAGGAGTCGGTGGTTTATGAATGGTTTTTAATTTTATTTCACAGGAGAGCTGTTGCCCAAAGATGCCCAAAGCCAGCAATGAGAAGTCTAATAACTTTAGGGGGTCAGCACCAAGGAGTTTATGGCATACCCCACTGTCCAGATGGAGATAAATATTGCAATTACATCCGGAGACTCCTGAACTTTGGAGCTTATTGGGAGTAAGATATTTTCTTTTCTCAGAAATACTCTCGTGATAGTGTAAGAACATTGAATCTGATTCTTTGATGGGTGAGCATTTTTAGAGAATGATCCAAGTCAAAAGTTTTAAATGAGGAAGGAATTTTCAGTTTGAAACTTGCATTTTATATAATTGAAGCGCTGGGCATAGAAAGGTCAGTTGTCAGCTGTCATATCTCGGAACCACCACTTAAGTTGCATCCACCATGAGCAAAGCAAACGTATGTAGTTTGTTGAAACCTCCACTAAAACTATGCACCTATATTTCATGATTTCTTAATGCTCTGGACTAACAATTTCAGAAAATTCACCCAACAGTTTTTCGTTTTTAATGTACATTAGTAGTTGAGATCCTGAAACACTGCAACCAAAAAGTACCCATCTGCACCCAGCATGTCAATTTTAATGTTGCAAAAAGTATGAAAATAAGGAAAGTTAGGAAAAGGATTTCTTATAAAATGCTTTTACCGACAAAACTTTTTCTTATTTTGTATGGAAACATTAATTCTTTCCTGCTCTCTAGGACATTGCCAACAAGATGATTTATATTTGGTTCAAAACTTTTTAGAAAATATTTGGCATAAACAGGTTCTTTTTCATCTTTCAACCTCACTCTGTTCAAATTCAATGGAACACTCTGAAGTGTCTGTACCAATGCGTATTTTTATCCCTACATGTTACTTTTCATAGGCTTCTTCCTTGGAACAAGAAAAATCAATGCTCATGAAAATGATTGTGAAACTATCTACAAATACCTATTTTGTTTTTGTTTTGCACACAGTTGGATGCAGGAGGATTTTGTTCAAGCTGAATATTGGCATGACCCATTGGATGAGGACACCTACCGAAAAAAAAGTATCTTCCTAGCTGACATTAATAATGCACTGACAATCAATGAACTTTACAGAACAAATTTGAAAAGACTGAAAAATTTTGTAATGGTTAGATTTAATAATGACACAATGGTCAATCCTGTTGAGTCGGAATGGTTTGGATTTTATACTCCTGGACAAGCAACTGAAATTACCCCTCTTATCAAAAGCAGCCTTTTTGATAAAAATTCGGTGAGAATACTACTCTGCTTTTTACCCTTTCTCTATCAGATTTTAAAGAAGAGAATAATATTTTTTCTTGTATGATTTAAATCTGTAAAATTTTGGAAAATGTTTACCTTTATATCACCAATGGAATATTTTAAATTAAATAATGTATGTGCATCATTAAAATTTTCGTCAAGTTAAAATTAATTATATTTTTGTTAAAAAAAAAAAAAAACAACGTTGTAGAGGGGCCAGTGAAGAACAGAAATTTATTTCAGGCGCATGAATAAATCAGTGGTTAATGTAAAATTGAACATCATAACACATGACTTCTCCCTAAAATTACATGTAAAATACGACGGAAATTTATAACAAATTCCAACTTTAGCTCATGAGTGAGCCATTGAGGGTTTTTTTGTGTGTTTGTCAATTCAAAGGCAAGTCCACTCGAGCCAATTCTGGTACTGAATGGGTTTTAGTCCATTTTGTGTTTAAATAATTAATCATCTCCAACCTATGGTCACCATAAAGTTTGCCGAGATTAGTATACTTTACCATCTTTTAAGTTAAGAACAATAACTCATGATATTTTTAATTTTTAGGCCTATTTTTTAACCAATGTTTAATCCCTTTTTCTTCTGACTTATATTTTATTCATTTTACAGGACCCATTGGGATTAAGATGGCTCAGTGATAATGGGAGGCTGAAATTTCTTGAAGTCGATGGCAATCACTTGCAATTCACCAAGAAATGGTTCCTAGCAAACATTTTGAAGCCTTACATTTACACTGATTCTGACTGAAATTTTCAGTCTAAAAATAAGTTACTTTGCAAGGATGTGATTTAGGTAGTAAGATTACTTAGGGACATCTTAGTAAATTTTGTGATTTTTTTACAAGAACTTATTCTTTTTTTTTTACATAAAGTAGATTGTCCATTGGTTTAGTTTTTCAGATCTTTGATGACACCTATTAATACTCCACTATTAGTGAGATTTTTTTTACCTCAGAATCATTCTGTTTCTTGACTGATTTTATAATTTTACATATGTTAATCATGTATTTTCTTTTTTCTTGTTATGAACTTGTGAAATTTCAGCACTATAATACACAATAATTTTCTTTGGTTTAAGATGATAGCCTCTTTAGTGATTTTCTCCTCAAACTCAAAGGTGCTTACTAAACACACCTGTAATTATTAGTACCTTTTTTGAAACAACGGTAGCTCGTAGAATGTTGGCGCAATGATGACTTTTGATCAGCATCTATAGACAAGTTTAGTGCGACAAAAATTGGATATCAAACATGGCACATAGTCCTATAAGGAGTGTGGGGGGGGGGGGGCATTTTCTGAGGGCAGTTGAAAAATTTCCCGTAAATAGGTAATTTTATAGACATGTTTTTGCCCACTGAAGAGAGAGGAAATTCAACTAAACAATTAGGAAAAAGGAAAAAATGAAACTCAGCAATATAGTGATGCAATTAAGCTCTTCTGCCTCTCATCCGGTCTAATCTTGAAACTCTTTCAATATGATCATTTGTTGTGATTGAAGTGTTGGGTGTAGAAAAGGCACTCCTCCACAGGTTGCAGAATCTTTACTGCTAATTAATTTTATGAAGCATTACCTTTAGGTTGAATTTTCTGCAATTTTTGGTTTAGAACTGTGGAATCATAAAGAAACAGTAAAAATTTTAATCAATTACGTACATTTGCTCTGCGGCCAAAATAATTGGAGTATTGGCACAGACTCTGGGACACCGCAATTGGGAAGTGAAAACCTTTTCTCTACCAAGTGCTTAGGATTATCTCGATATCTAATGAAAGTAGAGTTATGATGAAAAATTGTGCTGATTTCTGGGAATGAGAGATACAGCACTGAATATTTGATTATGATGAGAGGATTAAGAAAAAAACAAACAACAAAATAAAATAGAATATTTGGTTCTATAATTACTAAAAGAGGGAGAAATAATTAAATGATGCGTCTTGGAGCCAAAATAGCGCAGAATTTAGATTTAGCAACAACAACCTATTTCAAACTCAAATAATATAACTGATTAAGTGTCCATGGTAATGATCATTAAAAAAGACTGAGGGAATATAAAAAGAATGCCATCATATAAAACTTAAAACTAACATCTGATCATGAATAAGAGGGAATAACCTTGATCTGGGGCCAAAAATAAAGCTGATGGAATTGATACAAGGCTAAAAGGGAAATCTGCAAGTTCATTGGTTTGACAGTTCTTATTTGAAAGTAGCTACCAGTAGAAGTACCATCTGCCTGAACTTTATATTACATAGTTCAGCGGTAGGATCAGTTGTGTTAATAGAATCAGCTTTGATTTTGCATAAAACGAGGTACCTAAGCTCCTCGTAAAACAGATGAAATTCGAGACAACTGTTGAATTAAACCAAAATTCAAGTACACGAGGGAGACTTGATGCTATCACATAGACAGCAGTGACCGCAGTCATCAGAGCTACAATTCACAAAAGAAAATTTCTCCAAGTAGCTTTACTTTTTTCAAAAGATAACCAAGCTAAGCGGTTCCTTGAAATTTAGTCAAGTACAGTCCTTGTATTGCTCAGAGAGTTTCAAGGTTTGATGCTGCCCAGTTTTTGGTTAGAAACAAAAATGATACTCAAGGAAATTTTCTGAGGAACAAAATACAGTGAAGCTGGTTTCAATCAGAGCTGTTCATGTGTTATTGCTAGATCTCAAGCAGATTGACCACCACTGCTGATACTTTGCCACTGCTTAAATTAATTGCACCAAAAAATATTAGAAAATTAGCAGAAATAAAAACGTTAAAAAAAATCACTAACACTTTAATTTTAGACCCAACGGTGATTACCAACTCAAATTGGCATAAAAAACAAAATTTCGGTCAGAAAAAATGAGAACAAAATTTTGAGGTCACATTGAGCAAAGGTAGAACCAATTCTATTGTGAGTTTTCCTTGTAAAACCCTAAAAACAATTTAAGGCCTTTGTGACCTTGATTTCTCTCTATTCTGACGAATATCAGAATTCAACACGAGGGATTCAGGACATCTTTGACTTATTAACCCTGAGGTGATTATAAATACATGCTTGTCAAAAGCTTTTTCCTTCTGGCTTTTACAAAATGGCATACAGGAACAGATAAACTTAACCTTGCTAGCCAAAATTGTTAAAATAAAGATATTAATTTACTTAATATGCTTCATCACAGCACACTTTACAACTTATTACAGAAGCTATTGATGTGGAGAAACTAATATTCCGCGAGAGACTAATTTTCGCAATTTGGCGAGATTAAAGGGCACAGATAAAAATTGAAAATAAATTCGCTAATTACTGTACAGAAATAACATTATTACAACATTGCCAAAATGCTTCAGTTCTCATCATACAGGGGCGTCGCATCACCCAGCGAACTTTCGATCATCGATCGAGGACTTGCTACAGTCCTGGGGGTTGATCTGCCTGAGTGAGGGGTTGCATAGCCTGAGCGTCCACCCGGAGATTTGTTCGAGAACAGATCAGGATAACTCCTTGGACCTACGGAAGGAAGCACAGAATATTGGTTAAAAATAAAGTAGAGTACAGCTGCAGGAGAGTTTATCATACTATAATTATCCCCCCCCCCTCCAAATATAGATCCTGGAACTGTTCTTACTGATAAGATCTTGCAATGATGGATGAATGCGACACTAAACAGTGTACTATTTAAAGCGCCACCTTACATGATTTCATCATTGATTACAAATTGTGTGTAGAAAATAATTTTCAAAATGTGTAGTTCAGAAGTCAACTACTAAAGAAGAAACATGTGCAGTAAACTTTGGATTTCCCAAATGCAGATCATCTGAACTCCAGATTATCCAAAGTCATTTGTTGAAACATATTCCTCACTTGCTCTCAGAGGAAGTTGCAGCATCTTGGATAGCCCTTTCGTTCTCCATTGTACCCATTATGTGCTTAGCTTTCCCTGCCTTCCTCCCTTGACCTACCTCCATCATTGAGGGGCGGTTTTTTAGTCAACCTGATTCCAGTCCCAGTTGCAAGTACGTTGCTTGTAACATACTGTGTTTTACATGTTTTAGGCAAACAGGAGGACACCAAACTAATTTTTGTACAAGCATACTAAATATTTATATACTCTTCTGTATACTGAAGTATGAAATTAATATAGTTTGCATTAATTGCATCGTCTTTCCATTCATTTTATGAAAAGTAGTAGCCAACTCTGGGTTATCCAAACTTTCCCCAATCTGAACTGGCTGACAGCCAGATTAGTTTGGATAATCCGAGATTTGTTGAATAATTATTTGGACAGAGTTTTAAAGAAAAGCACTAAGTTGCTTCAAGTTTGATCCGAGAAAAAGAGTTTCATAGAAGGACTGAGTCTATTAACTGTATTCGCGTTCAAAAATACATTTCCTTGACTTTAAATTATTAACAGCAGAAAATTTGCAACTAATTAAATTCAAGACCACTCCTGACTCATTTCTTCCAGAATGTGACTAGTTGAGTCTCAATTAAACTCTGTCCATTTATAATTGAAATTAGTCTGATGACAACAATATAATTAAGGTCTATTGTAATAATACTGATCCACTTGATCAGTGTTCAATGTAAGTGTTGACATCTTGTTTGGTCAGTTAATTTATTGTGAGAATCTCATTCTACATAATATATTGAGAAGCAATTACGTTTAAGGCTGATTCCAGTGTTCGGAATTCACAGGCGCCATCGCGCCTAAGAAATCGGTCATGGCGTCTAAAAAATGAGGGCTCTGCGCCAAAGTGGCCTTTAACAATTGCCTCCCCCCTCCCCTCCAGAAAAAAATCCTAATTTCTCAAGATTTCTCCCAAGTTACAGCTACTTGTTCTGTAACTAAAGCATCTTGCATCTAACTTTTCGCTGAATGCGCTGTCATATATTAGCAAAAAGTCAATTTGGCCCCTAAAAATCAAGTTTGATGAGCCACATGGCTCCTGAAACTCAAAGATGAGTTCCGAACACTGATTGCAATGTGTTGAAATGGCGAGTAATAGTATCGGTTGGTAAATCTTACACAAGAATGCTTAGGAGCAGATCCCAATTTGATTCAAGAATTAATATCGTTGTTATATGAGTGATGCAGGGTCTCTGATGGTGTTACTATTCAATTTCTTATGAGATTGATTCAGGTTATTATTTTTGACACCGAATTTGAAACATGAATTCAAGATGCCGCTTATCCCAGACTAGACTGGACTAAATGCTGGAACCGACACTATATTTCACACACTGATTTATTGCAGGACAGAAAATCCCAGAACTTTATGGGTTTAACTTAAAAACTGGTAAAGAAATATTGGTACGTACCCATTTGTCTTGAGGATGGCGTGGATCGACCCAACCTAAAGCTAGAATCTTCATATCTTGGACTGAAACAGAAATAATTGAAAATTTGTTTTAATTATCACAAAAAAGTCATTTATACTGAGCAATGTGTCCTTTGACTTACTTCCTATTAGAATGAAATTAGATTGGTCTTTGAGCAGTGGCTGTCCACAAATTAGACCTTTCAGATAGAATAAGAAGAGGGAACGCACAATACAACAACACTACACTCAGACAAAGATTACACAGGGAAATGTTCCGACGTGTCAATTTTATACGAGATAACTTAATTAGACTCCAGGCTTAAAATCAAAGGCCAAAGGCAATGGATTAATACACAGTTTCCCCTTAAAAAAGTTTCCATTCAATTTCACTGCTAATAGTACAATATGACCTCAATTATTCAGTGATTTGTTGCAGAGGTCCATGAAAATTAATGAAAATGCCAGATGCCTGATGAAAAAGCGGGGAAACTCAACTGTTGACAATGCCTTAATGCTGCCAAATTGCTGAAGCTTTAGATAACCAAGGTGTTTTTAACTATAGATGTGGGAACTGTTCTGAGATTAGTCTCATCGCTATAAAAAAGCTGAACCAGTGGCCAAAAATTTGCGCATTCAAAAATACTGTGCCAGCAATTCTCTTCCGCATGGCAGCCCGCCTCACCGCCTCCCTGCCCACCCCAACCACAGGCACCATTATTCTGCCTTGCTGATCAGCTGCTGGAATACACAATGAAGTCCAGGCCAGTGGTTTCTTTTGATCCCTCTAATCACTTTCTGCAAGCACAGAGGCTTCATCCTCCCTGAAACTTTCAAGAACTTCCTTTATTTTAATTGAAGTGACGTGAGTGATGGGGGTGCACAGAGTTTCGCCCCTGGCTAACAATGGTGGTCGCATGAAAGGCTAATCTTACGATAAAATGCAATAAAAATAAAGTCTAGTAGCAGAAAGTTTCAGTCCTTGTTTTTCATTTTAGTGTGACAGTGCTTTTCCTTCAAAACCTTAAAAGCTAATATTTCTAAAAATATTTTAAAGATGCTTACCTCTGCCTCGGATTGGATCTCGGAGTTGAGGAGCCATCTTTCTTGTTGGAGCGGACCCAGTCTTCAGCCAGCTTTCGCCAATCGTCCGGAGCTGCTGATGAGGATGGCTGACTATTACGAGGCTGCCGGTGCGGAGATGGAGCAACAGGTGCAGGGTGGATAAACGGTCCCATACTTTGATGGGAGGGCGTTTGATGACCACCATACCTCGGTGTCTGGGTCGTGTGGTATGGCGTCATAAAGTGCGGTGTTGCTGCACTTGGGGTATAAGGCTGCAAAAAATGTATTTTACAATTAGGTTTAACCTTGACATGATACCTGTTGAATTCTTATTAGCATTCAAAATTGCATGCATTGACTTAGTAAATATGACTGTTTGTTACTTTCACAGTGCTCCTGTGCACTCTGTAATATCTAATTGTTTTTCCTGCCTATCAAATAATCTGAGGAAGTTTGGCAAATTTCAATTTTCTAATTTTTGTGATCAACATCAATTTAAGACTGCTGGTGCATACTCAACAGGGAAAAATATGAAATTAAATAAGGAGGGTGTCACTGACTGGTGAAAAAAACGTCTGCAGGAGCAAAAACAGCTTGCAGAAACCACTAGAGGCTATTTAAATTCATGGCCACATCAATATTTTGAATACTTTTTTACGTATGTCTTGCAATGGACCACTAGACAAGGTACGAATTTAAGCGATCTGATACGTGTTACTTAACCAGAATTTCACGTAGAAAACGATTCACACAACGAAAATTACTGAAACCAACTCCTAACGAAGATATTAACGTTTTTATTTCACATTGGTTACGAAGAATTTGAACTGCCCGCTCACAAAAAACTCAAAGCTCTACATGAGTCGAATCGCCCACTACAACGGTTTCAGCAAGCTTCTCAATCGAGCAATGTTCATTTCCCACCATGTGTTGTTCAAATTATAAGCAATTTGCTATAACTGAGCCAAAGCGTCAAGATTGAGGTTGCCAGATTTTAATATCGCAGAGACTGTCATGATCATGTTTCGCGCGCAATGTGAATCACGTAGAGTATTGAGTTTTCATGAGCGGGTGGTTTGAATTCACGCATCAAGAATCATTAAATATCTTTGTAAGGAGTTAATTTCGGTAATTTTCGTTGTGTGCATCGTGTTTTACGTAAAATTTTGGTTAAGAAACATGAATCAGAATGCTGAAATTCGTACCTTATCTAGTGGTCCATTGTAGTTAAATTTCCACTCAAACACTATTCAGCAAGACAAAATTATCTACAAAAATGCTGCAGAAAAGTGTTCAATCGACCTAATACTACCGTTTGGGCTACTTAATGCTCAATTTTCAATTTGCCTACAGCCTTAAATGTAGAAATACTCAAGATCCAGGCTCTATATGAATAAATTTAGGCCAAATTCATCTGCCAAATAGATGGACTCTTTAATGAAAAAGTTAAATATAGACGTGTCCTGTTTACTGGATTCCATCCATTGCGCTTTGAATGCCACCCATTAAAAATTTTAGTGGGGGTCCTTTAATACCTAAGCCAAATATTTCAAATTTTCAAATCATCTGCTTTGGTAGCATTTTTTTCTTTGTTGCCAGCAACCAAGCTAACAAAGGAAGAGATGAAAAGGATAGAAAAAAAGCTGATTATTTCTATTTTATTTAACAGAGGTAACTCACTGTGTTGGGATACGCCGACATAGCTGCAGCTGCATAAGCCGCTGGAGTCTGCGGATAGTGAGGGGTATGCATAAGACCCATTGGGGGTGGTACCCTTTGCATGTCTACACTCATATCTAAAACATAAAAAAAGGGGGAAATATCATCATTAAAGAAACATAACAGTTGCTACATATTTTCATATTTTCTTCCTCATCATAATGTCTATAATAATTATTGAGTCACTTAGGAGAGGCTGATCGCTCAAGTCTTCAATTGGTATTGAGATTTTGAGGTGTTGGAGAAGATGAAAAGGGTTTTAGAATGACTAGATATCTGGTTGAAAAATAATTGTACCGAATTTTTTTCTTGAGGGCCCAAGCCTCAAAATCCAAATTTGGAGAAAAACGGAGAAAACAGAGCTATTTGGCATGCATTGAATCTTTCGAGTCCAAAACCAAAATTCAGAATGCTTATTTAGGTCATTTGAGAATGAAGTTCGAGCCTAGGGTGCGTTTACTCAACTCAACATCAACCTACAATGAGCAGGAAATATGTACTGAACGGTGAACATGATGTCACCATCTCTGGCCCTTGCCTTGTCTTATTCACGTTGCTCATGTTTATTCTCATTGATGTGACTACAAAAAATCAATTTTGCTTTATTTTTTAAATAAAACAGTTCTTATCTCACCGACGGATTTTATCGACTCTCATTCACATTGCCTGAAAAGAAAAACAAACAAGAGAGCAAAGAATTGGGAGAAAGCTTACTCAGCATATTTGGTGTGTGAGGCTGGAATGGTGTGCTTCTCATGTTTACAGATCTTGGAGTGCTTGGTGTTCCTGGAATAGCATCTCTGAAATGTTCCTTGAACCAACGGAACAAGGTACTTATGCTGTCAAACATTTGTCCTCTATAACGATATCCTTCTGCTGTCACTGTTACATACTCATGTTTGCATCGAGTTCGTGGCAGATACGATAATAAGAATTTTCCGGGGTAGTTCTGAAAGAAAAAAAATTTTGATAAAGTCGTTGGATTTTAATGGGTGGTGAGAGTTCGAGACTTTTGGGCGTTTTGATGGTTCTTACTAACTTGAACTTTGAATAGACTGAAGGACTTTTTAATAAAAGGGTTTAATGCCATAAGATTCTTAAATTGTAACCATGGGAAGTGTTGGTGTAAAGTACGTGCTACTTGTGAGGATTTTAGATTTCCAGACGATTCTCTTTCTCTTTGACTCTTACAACAAAGGGATCAATTAATCTTATTTCTCCCAGCCTCCATCTACCAAAGATCATCTAATAATTATCTCCCCCTGGGTAAATATATGTGAATCTACCGCATGTTGACAGGATTGTAATAACTTTCCAAAAAAGAAAAAGGAAGGCAGATTGACAGAGAAGTTTGAAAAAATAGCATCTTTCAAAAATAAGACATTCATTTTGTATCACAATCACATTTGAAAAGAAAGAACTCAAATATATTTCCCTGTAAATGAACTGAATTTAAACAGAAGGATTAGGATGAAAGCGCTTTAATCTATCCCTCAAAATTGTATTGTTGAGCTCCAAATTTCAGAAAACAAAGACATCAATATCATTGACGTCCCTCCACTGTTAGAGCATGCTGCCAAATTGCTCAAGTAGCCTCCTTACTATTAATGAATGTCTCTTTCTCCAAACAGATTACAACATTCCACGTCAAACAATGTCAAACAGTTATAAAAGCAACTTTGAGAGGCTGACGTATTCAATACTGAAACTGGATTGAGTGAGTTTAATGGCAAAACAATAGAGCTTCCATAAATCAGACTGTTGAAATATTAGACTATCAAATTTGGCATTTATGGTCTTTTAATTGCTGTTTATTTTTAAATTCAATTTTAAAGTTATTAACTTGGAATTTTAAAACTTTTTTTTTCTATTTATTTTATTACTATATTAATGACAATCTACAAAAAGTATTTAGTTGGCATCAAAATATTTTTTACAACAACAGCTGTTCGGATTTCAGTCAAAACATCTGATAACCCAGGATAACAATGCTATGGTAACAAAGAATACTTATCAATGGACAACACAGGGTGAAATATTTCTTGAGATAATAGATAAAAAGATTTTGGGCTACCGATTCTCACATTACTTTTTTGAACTCAACTCCGCTGGGCATTAATCAATTCCTCCTCTCTATTTTTTCTGCAGGGATAAGATGGCATTTATGCGTTTGACAAAAAAACTGGCCCCATCCTCAAAACAAAAGGAGTTCATGGATGGGGACCACTTTTAATTAATTGCCTAAAATATTAAGTATAAGAAGGGGGAAGAGGAGTTTGCAATTTTAACACGGAAAGACCTTTCACTCAAAAAAAATTTAAATAATTGGAAGAAATTATGGTTAAACATCAGGGGAGAAACTGATGAAAATTAGGGGGAATCTGACATGCAATAGAAAGTCTGGAAGAGAGGTGTTTGGAGTTGTACACTAAAAGGAGAGGTGAAAACCAGACATACTGAGATACGTATTTCTGGATGGCCTCTGAAAATACATCAAAATTCTTACCTTGCTCACAGAGATTATGTAGTGAATTTTGGATGGGTTTTTCTTTCTTTCTTCCTTAATTATTTCTTCAGCTTTATCTTTCAAACCTCCATCTGTGTTTCGGTAGTACCTAAATGAAAAAATATCCCGGCAGTATGCAGCCATGGGGTTGATATGTCGTGCAATGATTTCATCAAGGTCCTCAAACTCCTCGTTACCAATCAGCAATGTCTGCCCAAGTGAAAAAGCATTTTCCTTGCCCACTTCCTTGACGTCAATATGTTGACAAATACCATCAGCGACCTTCCACGTTACCGTGAGATGGTCAGCTCCCTGACTGGATGGCCGGACAATGACTTCACCAGGCTCCATTGATGCCATGAGAGCTTCTGCTTCTTTATAGGAAATGTTGTGGAAGGAGGGATGGACTATGACTCGTTTGATATAAGTCTGCCGTTTCTTTTGTTGCTTGGCATCATCTTCAGTCTTCTTATCTTTCATTTCCGCTTCAAGGTCATAGAAAGGGTCTTTGGGGGGTCTCCACTCATGATTCTTATCAAGTAAGTCTGAGGATTTGGAGGTGGCGTCTATTGAAAACCTTTCCACATCGATTTTTATTATCCGACAATGGATTACTTGATTTCGCTGCACCCTCTCTTCAGGATCCGTGACATGCTTGTCTGACAGATTTTTAATATGAATAAAGCCGGAGACGCCGTTGTCTAGCCTGATTTTGACTCCAGTTGCAGATCCAGGACAGCCTTTGGAAGTACTGAAATGATACCATACTTCTGACAATTCCGGGAAATCATTTTTGAAGCAAAGAGGACATTGCCACAAGCCGGTTTCTTCATTTCGAATAGGGTTGGCTTTGTCAAGCTGTTCAGGCGTTGGCTGTTTTCTTGAGATTCCTGAAACGACTGCTGAAATCATTTTTCCAATATAGAATGTTTCTGGGGTCTCTTTGGTCAAAATATCAAATAACTCCTCTGGGTTTGGTGACCGGTAAGGTGTGCGCAGATCCTTATAACGATGGTTCAACTCAGCACGGATGTCATACAGAGTAATACTCTTGTTGCCAAAACCTTGTCGCTCCAACTCCTCAGCAAATGCGTCTAAGTCCAAGTCTTTTAACCTTTCTGGTGCTTCAAGAATTTCTTCTAAAGCACCAGCTGGATTTGCATCATCATCTTCGTACTCCAGAGCATCTACAGCCATTTTCCGGGCCCATTCATACGTTTCTGGATGAACTCGAGAACCATCCAAAACTTCTACATACGAATCTGTACTATCACCAAGCGAATTGGTATCGATTTTGATGAAACCTGCGCAATTGATAAATACTTTAGGACCCATATGACAAGAGGTGACCAGTTGAGTTCGGTTTTCTAGTCGTTGGTTTGTTTGTTTTAGTAATTTTAACAATGCTGCAGCTTTCCTAGGCCCCAACCCACAAACAAATTGAACTAGATTGCTGGCGTAAACTTGCTGCACAGTTTCATTGATGTCCACACCTACTTCGTTGGTTCGATTCACAAACTCGATGGTCAAGGCATCCAAGAGCTCTTCTTTGCTTAGCTGGTCTTGTAATGCATGATATCGAAGGCATAGAATTTCATCATCTGATGTACATAATTGAGAGAATTCTATGAGGGGATCTTGCAGGCGCCTGGCAAGAGAAACAGCTTGCCGTAGTAGGAGAGGATATTCTCGAAAATCACTAATTCCTTTATTTGAATTGGCATAGATCTTTGATAATTCATTGTCGACGATTTCAACGGGGATCATTGGAAACTGCTCGTCCTCTACTAGATTTGTGATGATCTCTTTTACATCCGCAACAATCATGAGAGCTTCTCGAGACTCGCCGCCCACACAAATAGCATGCGGTTTTTTTGTAGAAATGAAGTCTCGTAAGGCACGAAGGTCTGCCTCTTTGAGAGCTTTATCATCCACTCTGAAAGACTGCTTACGTTTCAACAAGTGTGGAAGCCTTATATGCTCAATAACTTCACCTTCTGGGGAGATCACACAGCCAAATGCTGCTTGGGAGAGATCGGGCTCATAGGCTATACTCATAATGCGGAGTCCTTTGCTCGTGTCCCACTCCTCATCGTCTTCATCAAAATCGACGGAGAACGGAGCAACCTGCAAACATAAAAATTAATTCCTTTGAACAAAACCTAAACTCAGGATTGTATTTGGGACAGACCTTGCTCATAAATTTTGAAAAAGGCAAGAAAAAGTCTTTATCCTGAGCTATAAATGTAAAATGCAAGATTTCTTCGGTTTAATTTTGGATAATAATTCTACTGCTTAAAAGAAATATACATATGGCAGTTGAAAAACATCAAATCAATCAACGTTATATTGTAGTTGTCCATAATTTGATGTGGATATGGTGACTGAAAGTAATAATTGAAAAGTCAGAAAATTGTGTTTTTGTTTCTTATGTTACTTATAAATCATGATTTGCCTTAATATCAAAATTCAAATTAAGGAAGAAGGTGCTCGGAAGTTGTCTGCTTCCTCTCAAATGGCAAGAGCTGAAGTTACTGAGCCAATGCGCTTCCCAAAAAATTTCCTGACTTTCCCAGGTTGCAGTAAATTCTTTAACTTTTCAGGTTTCCTAGACTTCCGGAAAGTCTGTACTTGAAAACTCTCAGCTGATTTAAGTATCTTCTATTAATATTTCAGACTCTTTTACTTTTGGTATATATTGAAAATTAGGGGTAAACAACAGTCGCCAATCAAAAGTAAATAAACAATGAAAATTACCTTCAGCCAATTGTAGAGTTTATCACAGCAATTTTTCAGTACAGATTCTTTCGATTCACCTAATAAGTTTGTGCGAAGCTCTTTGCAAAGATCAGGGAATAGCATTTTGGAGAGTGCTATTTCAACAGCCTCCAACCTGAGCTTGTTCCATTCTTGGACATGTTTACTGAACTCATCACGATAGAAGAGTTGCTTCACCTCCTCCACATAGGATGAATTGTGCGTGATACCTAGAAAAACAATGTTCACAATATGTATGTCCTGCTTTGAAAATGTAAATGACCTTTCTTGAAAACTCAAACTTGCTTCAAGTACACAAAAAACTCCATTAGTGATCACTTCCAAAAAGAAAACATTCTCCTATGAAAAAATATCAGGCAGCATTTAAGGAAAGGAAACCAATGACATGTTTGAACAATGAAAAATAAGTTAATGGTAATTTTGAGCTCTTCTAAAAGAGAAATTTTTTCCGTAAAAACTTCAAAGTCCGCAAAAATATTGAATGAAAATGAGCAATGAAATTTTTGATTAATGCGATGAAATTCATGAAGGAGCGAGCATTGCGTATTTTATGAATGACCTTTGACACATGGGATTCATCTTCAGTACTGCAAAATATTCTACATCTTAATATGTTTTATGCTAAGGATATAGCTGAATTGGCTGTAGACAGTTAAAACACTGCAAATTCATGTTCTCTCAGGACCCATTCCAAGATATTTGTGTGAGAATCTTTTGTTCATGATTGGACTAACGGCTTATAGGTATCCTTATTAGAGCAGATACACCAAATTCATTAACAATGATGGGCAGTACAAGTTATCTTTTATGAGGTCAATAAATGTTTATAAACACAAAGACCTAAAACTTTTGGTAAGAATTTCCATCACGATGTTTCAGAATTTTTATGTTTAAACACTTGCAAGCAAACTCTTTAAATGGAAAAATTTTCTCTAGTCCAATAGATGTCTGTTTCTCAAGCGCTAGATCACGCCTTGATTTTCAAACATGGATTCAAAGATTAACAACGTCCCTTACAAAAAAGCTTGCGTTTCCACACATGTCATTAGCAGGAAGGCATGGCACTAATGGCTGGCAAAGATTGATGCCAAAGTCAGCAAGCGAAATTGGCGCTTACAATCTGTCCAAAGAAAATCAAAAAGACCAAGAAATTGAAGCAAAGAAGTCGAATTGACAAACAACTTGAACAGCTATTTCTTTGGTGCCACATATTGTGCAATAAGTGATAAGTTCAACATGAAAAACTATTGCAATCATTCTATAAGTTTTACGGATAATCTTATTTCTCCTTTTTAAATTTATGATAATTTTTTTAAATGATTCTTTTGAAAAAAGAAAAAACTTCCATACCTTCAATGTGTTCGTTTATTATTATGTTCACAAGCTTGTCTTGCTCTGCAATTTGGAGTTTCATAAACTGCTCTCCCGTTAAATCCCTGACTGGTTTTCCCTTTAAGTATTTCATGGCGTAGCAGCTGTGGTTTTCGTCAATCTCTTTCATTCCTTTTTTTGTTGGTCTCACATCAATTTTTGCCCGCTCAAAGAAGGTTTCTCGCACGCAGCTTTTGACTAGTGGCTCTTTGGAAATCTGCATGGCGAGCATATACTTAGCTGCTAGCACTACATCTTCAGGAGACGTGAACCGACTGAAAAAGAAGGTGGAAACATTTCAGCAAAGTAACGAGTAAAGAAAAGACAAGACAGACAGAAGAAGTCACACATTATGAAGCACCGACAAAGTTTAATTACATCATTGATCATTTTCCAAGAAGTTATTAAAGGGAATGTATTGATTGGGACCTCGTCCTGAACATGGAAAATCTGCTTTTTTAAGTCTAAGAATGGAGCTTGGAAATTTTATTGGGTCTATCAGCCATACCTAAGCTAGTTTGTTTAGAAAATCTTTCTTATTATAAATAGAGAGGGGGCAGTTTTAATTTTGCAATTAGGGCTGCTAAATTACGGAATATGGATAAAAAGGCCTACAGACTTGAAAATCTTGTGATTCAGAGCTTTGAAATTCAATTTATCTTTGTTTCTAGGTGAAAATGATCAGACTTACTGGAGGGTACGAGTTCTGATAATTTTTAACAATTTAATTGGTTCAGACGAGGGAAATCCTGGCAACTAGCTTCCAAAGAAAGAGAACACTGTATCCACAGAATCTCTTGTTCCATTCAGCATCATATTGTCATTTTATGTCGACCATCAACTTATAGATATTCTCTATTGACATTTAAAACTCAGCCAACCCTACACTAGGTGTCAGTTTTTTGTCATTTTATTTCCGTGTGCAAGATATTCCAAAAATACTATTTTAATTCGAATGATATGAAAAGTCTTTGATAAATTTCCAACACTTTTTGCACACTTGCTCTCTAAAAAGTACGTAATGAACCACTGGACATAAATAATGAGTTGAACACAAAACATTGGACCTACCTAGAAGTGTATTCTTTTGCTAGCACCAAAGGTCCAACAGGCTCTTGTTCGACTTCATTACGTTGATAATTATCTCGCAGGTTCTCAGCGAACTGTTCTGGCAATAATCCAAACCTTTTCACGAAACCACCTGAAAATTGAAAAGAAAAAGTTTCATGTGTAGTGACAACTTTAATAAGGTTTTCATTATGTGTGTTCATAAATGACACAAATGACTGCATTATCCTGTCTGACAGGCAAATACCACACTATGAGAATTATTACGTAAGGGATCGCATACTTCCCAGGCCGTCTTATAGGATTTGCGTGGCCTGAAACAAAAACTTCAGGACTTTTTTGCAGGATTTCCATATTTTTTCAGTCCTTCCAGACCAACCTCAAATAATTAGTGCTATTTCCGAACTATCAAGACCAGTAAACACCCTGGGTTTTCCTATGTATTCTGATTCTTCTTGATAAATTATTTTAATAAAAAAATAAATAAACAATACCAAGCTCCTTTAAAATGGATAGTGAATAGGAATGTAAATACAGTGGAAACTTGATTGATCAGCTTATCCATAAGTCGGAAATTCAACTTTTCTCACTGGTCCCATCAATTTCTCTGTATCAACTGTGTACTGTATTTCGAGATAAACTGAAATCTCAGTTTTAGTCTGAGTTGGAAATTTGGCACAGCTTTGTGATTCAGTTTTTTTGATGCGTTGAGTCGAACAAAAATGCAAAGATGCTAAAAACATTTCACTAACATGAGACAGTATGACTTTTTTGTACTAATAAAAAAATGTTTGGCGTTCGCTCACTAGAATTCCAATTGGCAACTTGGGCTTCTGCCGCCAGGAGAGCTTTCTTCCAGCTCAGAAAAGAGTGCTTTGAGCAGTCTTATTATTACCTTAGCGATATGCTTCAGTCATTGCATCTAGACTTGGGAGGAAATTTCACCAATTTGAGGTTTAAGCAAACAGAATCCAACATGCAATGGCACATAACGTCTAGCCAATCGAAGACAAGAGCAGTTTGGGACCCAAGAGATTAAATGAGTTGCCAAACACAAGATCCATCCCACCCGGCAAGTCATGGTAATCCTGCTGCTTAACCTTGAGCCGCACAATTTGCTCTTGAGCAAAACTTTGCTGTGATGGATTGTTTAGCTTTGGAGTTGGTACTGATCTCCAGGCAATGAATTTTTAAACAGTTGGCACAGTCTAGGCTGATGACGAAAGCGCACATGCCATGCCATTGCATGCCTGATTCTGTGTGCTCAGACCTTTACTTATTAAAGTTTGAGAACACAGAATCTGGCACACAACAGCTTGGCTTAAAACAGAACTCAGCCGAAAGATGACGTAACTTCACTCAAGTCTGAATAATCCACCCATTCTGACCTAGTTCAATTTATTGAGATTTTACTGTACCATGAGTAGGACTGAACTTACCAATTCCAGCTTTGCGACAAAGACTATAAGGACCCTGCCGAACAGCTGGTTTGACCAACTCTGGTTCCTCATCTTCTTCTTCTGGTTGGGTTTCTGGCTCTGCTTCATCATCAGTTACCTCAACCTCTACTTCGTTTCCATCATCATCTGTCACCATCTTCTTCTTTTTCGGTCTATCTTGCTGTTTTTGCTTTGCAGCCTCTTTCTTCTTCTGTCTTTCTTTTTCTAGCATTAGGGGAATTTCATTTGAGTAATGTAGCAAGAAGTGTGAGTGTACATCCTTCAATTCCTCCGTGGTTTGAACTGCTTTCAGCCGATCTATGTCCTCATCTGAGATCAGCCGTACATTCTCTGGAATAGGAGCATCGAGGCTTTCTTTCATTAATTCTTGCGACTGAAATTCTTGCATGTTCTCAAAAAGTTTCTGCAGAGCACTTTTTCGAGCCTTCAGTTGACACCACTTAGCATCAAACTTGTATACTCGCCACAAGTCATTTATCGTCAGTTCTGGTTGCACATATTCTTTCCGGTAGAAGGCAATAAAGGGAACCTCAAAGTGCTGATTTCTAATAAAATCAAGAGCTTTCTTGATCTTTCCGATTGTTTGTGGCCCTTTTCTGGATTTGTCTCGCGGATCAACTCCACCAGGGTTCTCCTGCAAAGTTAAAATTGAAGTAAAGCTACGATTCAATTCAAGGACAGAATTTATGCAAACTTTCATTATTTAAAAATAAATGTATGTACAAGTTTGTGTCATGCTGAGCCAGTCAGTTGACAAAAATTTTTTTATCTCAAGATTTAGAGTTTATTTCAAGACAAAGTTTGCTCCTTTTATCCCAAGGGTTTTCTTGGAGCTATACTAACCTACCAATGGTTGCTGAAAAGGTTGCAGGTTTGTTATGGAAACATTGCCACGACGTTGTTTTTGACTTCGTTCATAAGAAACGTTGTGGCAACATTTCTGCAACCTCTTCCGCAAACATTGCCATTGCCTGCAAACAGGAGTGTGTATAAATACGTTTGTAGGCAACATGTTCAATACTTGCCACAAAGAATTTGTCCGGCTCTCAGCTGAGGCTATTTTTGATACTGAAAGGAAGTTTAAGCAATCTACACACATGCTCTGAGGGGATGTAATTTTACTGTGGATCAGAATAATTGGATGAAAAAATAAATTCTATGTCCTGATTAATAAAAAATAATGAGATTCACTTGAGCACACTACAAGTTAAAAAAACTTTTGGAGGAGAGGGATTGTTACCTGTGTAGATATTGTTGGTTTACAGAATGCTTGTTTGTAGATCCATTCCGACTCATCATCTAGTTCATCAGAGCCCTCTGGCACAGAGACGATAGGAAACTCACGAAGTTGCATTCTTTCAGGAATGTCTGTGTTTCTGACCTCATTATCAAAGTCAGTGAAATGCCCTCGTTTCAGCTCAATTGGCTCATACAACTCAAAGATGGACTTGCGCGTCGCTTTGCGAGCTGTTTTCTTGCGTGTTTTTCGAGGTCTGTCCACATCCTCACCAGCCTCTTCATCTATATACTCATCATCTTCCTCCTCTTCTTCCTCTTCTTCTTCATCGTATTCATCGCCATATCTGTCAAACTCATCGAAGTCGAAATCCACCCCAAATATGTCTTGGGCTTCTTGGAGGGCAGCATCTGCGAAAATTGGCTTCTTCTTTTTACGGCTGGCTATTGGGCGACCTTCATCGTCCACAATGAAATCATCTGCATCTGAGTAGTCTCCTTCACCATCTTCATCTTCCCCTCGTTCTGATCCACGTTCTTCCTCCTGTAGAAGACAATTCATTAGTTATGTGCTTACAAATAAAATACATCAATAAAGAGAAATTAGTCCTCAAACCTTGTGGGGGGGGGGGGCTCTAAACCTTTTCAACAAATTTGTTGGGGTCCGAACATTTTCAAGATTTGTTGCTGGAAAGTCAGAATCTTAGAAATGAATGGCAAGCTGTGATGTTATTCTTAATTTGTCCCTGTTAATGGAAAAATCAACGTAAGATATTATAATATTGAAAGCTGGGAGGCTTGATATGAACTTTCCGTCCAGCTCTAGAAAAACGGCACAGAAAGCATGACAATATTTGTCAAAGGTTTTTAGATTGTTATACAAAGTATAATTCACATTTTAACAAGGAAGAAAGACTGTTCATGGATATAAGATGACTAAAATGAATGTAGTGAAAATTTTTTAGAAACTCTTTCAATGGAGCATCTTCATAGATTAAGATTTTGAGCACGCATCGCAAGGAAATAATTTGTGTGGGTTCTGATACCAAGTATACTGCAGAAACCTTTATCAACACAGTTGCTTCAACCAAAGAAGTTGGAGCTGGCGTCAAGTAAGTTGATAATTATTTCTTTTGACAACGTTCCAACTTCACAGGGCGCTGCGCGCAAAATACGCCTATAGATGAGGCTATGTTGCCTAAAAGCTTGGAGTTTTCGCCAAATAAGCTCCTAAAAAGTCAAATGTAACCTGCTCCAAATTCTTGAAGCAGCAATAGTGCACCATGCCCATAAACACAGGAAATCATTTTGGACCTTTAAAAAATTGCAGACGGCTCCTAAAATTTGACGGTGAAGTTGGAACACTGCTTTTAAACAGGTCTGTATAGGTACATGACCATATTACACATTCTGGATTTTGCAGTACATATCAAATTTCGTATTGACGAAGCATGTCTCTCCCGCCTTCATTACATCTTTAAAAAATAAATAAAAATTGAATTGCTCTCAGTTTAATTCATAAACAGTATTCCATGGGTAAATGGAATAAAATAAAATAGCATCGAATGAATTTACATCTCAATAAATTTAATCAATATAGTAATGCATTTTGGTGGTATAGGACAGTCTGATGGATACATGAAAGTGGCAGTGACCTTTGATGCCATGGTTGCCATTTACAAAAATAAGTGATAGACTACGAATTCACTTGACACCAGCTCTACATGAAAATTGAAGCGCTAAGTGCAGAAAGGGCGCTTTTCGGTTGCAGAATCTCAGAATCTCTGCTAACATTTCATTCATGAAGATCAGAACAAATGTATGTAACTTTTACTGAAAATTCTTTCTTATTTTACAATGCTCTAAACCAAAAATTTCAGAAAATTCACCTAACAGTTCTCTCTCTAAAATATAAATCAACAGTAAAGATTCTAGAACTCTGCAACCAAAAAGTGCCCTTCCTTCACCCAACGCCTCTATTGCACACAAGATCAGCTAACTCTCCAGAGTCACATTATTTTTTAAAAGCAAAGTTTGGATTTGGTCTCACAAAATTTGTCTGTCCTTGGGAAAAGGAGCTTTAGTTCACAAAAAATCAAAATCGAATTGTTAATAGGAGAGCACAGAGGAGTGGTTTAGGAACATTTTGTAATAAAATACGCCAAAAATGGACATATCAAACCTGAGTTATGTTGATGCATAGTTTACAGTTTTAGAGCACAGTTTTGAGAAAAAGTTATATGAAACCCTGTTCTGTCATGAACAGGGCAGAAAATTACCAGAGGATAATGCAACTTCACATCGTCAACTGACACAAAAATAAAATAAAATGCTCACAACTTATTCCTCAGGACACTGCACAAATTTAAATGAATATGGTTCACAGCAAGTTCCAAAACCTAACCTCTAGATTTGTCTTCAAGACGGGAAAATTATATTTTGAACTCATGCGGCTTGCTAGTTGAGCTTTTTTCCCAAGAGACTCGAGCTATCCTTCATTCCTCAATTGTGCAAAGCACTTATCAGCAATTGAGAAACAAAGGCCATTTTTCTTGCAACTTTCAGCCGTACTTAAACTGGCCAACAAAAGTCGACAATTCTCAACGAAATAAGCTCTGCTGAAAATTTTGCCTTCGTCGACTTGGGCCCTTTTTCCTTGGACAATGGCAGTTAAGTTATAAAAAAATAATAGATAAAAAATGAAAATTGAAATTAATAGATTCAAACATTCACATACCCTCTCATCAAGCTCCTTTTGATTGAAAAAACAAATTGTGAATATGGGTCAGGATGATGACAAGCGAGTGAAACAAACAAACAAACACATGAGAATCTAATGATGCAACACTTGGAAAAGAACCTTTTCTTCCTGTAGATAGACGGAGGGGTTTTTGAGATGTACTGGGTTGGATTAAGACTTGCTGAATCAAAATATGAGTCATCGTGAGCTATCAAAATGTAAATTAATTAATTCAAAACCTTAGAACAGTCCAGTACGTTTTCAAATCTCACTCTTCACTTCCTTGCTGCCTCTGGAGATACTACAGGAAGATCAGGTCCTTCTTCCAGGCTGTATTGCATGAAAGAGTTTTGAAAGAGGATTTACAGGTAGAACTGCAAATATTCTTGACAATGTTTTCTTCTTTTAGATTTTCCTCATTTTCATGAGGAAGTGGCTCGTCATACAAACTTTCAATGTTAATACACAGCTTGCATATTGGAGGCTAAACTTGGAAACCAGGTACACTAAATCTTGGATTATCTGAGCTAATGTGGTTGAACGTTTGGATTATGGAGAGGTCACTACAACCACCTTAATTTGACACAATATTCGTAAAAAGTGATGAAATAAACACAAATTTGAAATAAAATGCTGGAATAAATAGTTACATGATAAACATTTACAAATGGTGCAAGGTTTCCAGGTTGAGCCATATGTACTTAAAAAATTCCAGGTGATGAGTTTTGCATGTTTGGAGAAATTTTGTGTTCTTGTGCAAATTTAAAGATAAATATGAAAAGTTCTTTTCAGTATATTTTTCTCAAAAAACAAATTCACATCTTACTGATTGGTCATTGAATGTAGACAAAAAAAAATCTCAGAACTTTTAAGATGAACTGATTTTTAGAATTGAACCATTAAAAGGTCAAAATTTGGAACTTAAGAGCTCTCAGACAAAACAAGAAAATTATGTTTCTTTTCATACAACATAAACGAAACGGCAGGGCCTTTTTTAGACTTTGAATATTACAGTTCATCATCTGGAATTTTGAAAGCAAGCAAATCCATATTTTCGCCTCTTTGCAGAATGAACTGCCTTGATTTTAAATGGCAGTGGAAAAGCATAGTGTTTGCTAAAAACTGGCTCTCTAACACACAGCAAATTCAAACCTAGGCATGCTAGGATCATCCCACATTCCTGTCATCCATACCTCACCAACTATCATTCAAAACTTGAAAACCAACAAACTGATAGACTGTTTTATTCGCAGATCCGGATGATCACGTCAAAAACTGCCACTACATTGTGCTGCTACATGGATAGTGTATTTGAGAAGAAATAATAATTATAATCTACAAATCCATGTAATAAACCAGACTCTGACATATGACATTATAAATAATGAGTAAAAGGACTTCAAATTTGAGAGGATTCATGGAGTAGCTACATTGAAAATTGAGGAAATGGACGTTGCTCTTTGAAACAATGGCTAGGAGAGAGATGTCATATTGCTATCTCACTCATTGACGTGTTATTCCGTATTCGTTTCACTAGGAACATTTAAGGGTTTGGTTTTTATACTTAGATGTATGCATTGAAATAATTATTGCTTCTCAAAGACACAAGCTTTATTCAAGTGGAATGTTGTGAGGGTTCTCATAAGGGAGTTGAAATTTTACTGCAGCTATCTTTCTAAAATATTTTCTAATTATGTTTAGAACCTGTGGTAAGGAATGACATGTATTGTTTTTGTTCAGATTACCTGAATTTGACCGTGATACTAAAAGCAAGAGACTTTTTTTGCGAACCTTAGCACTTAATCTCTTTCGAATTAAGTCGGAAGTCTTCAGAACTTTCTCCTGAACTTTATTCATACTATTTATCCAATCACAGTACTTAAAGCACAAATTGTACACAGCCAAAAGCCTGCAAGTATCCGTTTATACTCTGTAAAACAACAGAGGCAAGAGCAAAATGAAGCTTAAAGTATCATACCCGTTCCGAGTCGTAGAGGTCTTCACCATCCTTTTCTTCATCTTCTCGGCCTTTTTCATCTCCTGACTCGTCATCCTCTATTCGACGCAATCGCTTGAAACGTTTCTGGAAAATGATGAATTAAGCTTACAGAAGGAAAATAAAACCTTAATTTCATACTGTCAAAATTGGTTTTGCACAATATAAGATTAATTCTCAGAGATATTTCTTTCCTTGTCCAGAACGTAAAATAGTTTACAGCTATTGCCTCATCAAAAAGGATCAACATTTTTCATTGTACACAGGAGTGTAGATAGTTCTTTGCCTATACATTTCTTGAGGTTGCCTTCACATTGCTGTCCTCATAAGATTTGCACCCTCGACTACTTCCTTCGCATAAAAGAGCTCGCTCAACTATTTTCTTCGCAGGGAGAGAACAAACAGTTACACATTTTCCTTCGCAGAAAGCTATGAACTTAGCAGGTTTATTCCTTCTGCCCTCATATTTTTCCCCCTTCTCCAGATGCCTTCACATTTGCTCCACGATCAGTCTGCAATCAGCCAATCAAGCATTTTTGGCACCCCTGATTGTACAAGTGAGTTTCTGAGATTTTTCTTAAGTTTGCTTCGAGCAGTTTGGATTACAAGACACCAAACTTTAAAAACCTATTCATTCAAAAATGGTTTCATACTTTTGGCACTTGAGTAAATAACTTGGCTTTAATTTGAGGTATACATATGTTCATTACATTTCAGAGGGAATTTAGTGATATTTGGATTAGCTTTTTTTTTTAATAGATTAATTTTTTCCCCCTTTCTTCAATTATTATTGAAGATTAGACACAGAAGAGTCAGTAAGTAGAAGATTATTCCTGACTGCATAAGTCTGTTGCCAAGTAATAATATTCACTAAACTCACCTTCCTGGATATTTTGTGTCCAAGATTTTCTTCCAGTAGATCATAGTCGTCGTCTTCCAGTCGGTCATCATAGTCATCTTCTTGATCTGACTTCTTACGCTTTTTCGATCCAGATCCATCTGATTCTTCACCATCACTTTCATCTTCTTCTATTGGTGCATCATCAATTAGATCTTTCAACACTTCTTCATCGTCTGAAAGAATATGAAAACTAGAAGTTAGTGGCTTATTTACTTTTTGAGTGAACAGTTGAAATTCTAGAAAATATTTGATTACACCACTAAGTATAGAAGAGAAAACATGTCTCAGAGAATGTCAGATCATACAAGGAGCTCAGGCTCAACAGAGAAACTCTGGAGTCCTGAGGTTCCTTCTCAGATTTGCGCAGAGATTATAATCATAGACATGACATCATCAATTCACTGTAATCTTACAGTCATTAGGATGACTTTGGAAATGTTTGATACTTGTATTAAAGTCAAGCTGATTGACACCCGCGTTCAAAATTAAAAACCAATGGCGAAACTACAAAAACATATATCTCTCTTGGCGAAATTTTAGATTTCCTGGGGCATTTTACTTTTTAGAGGGATGACTAATTATCATTATTGCTCCAAATGTAAAGTGATTTTTGTATTTACTTTCCAAGAAAATCTCTGAAAATTTAATATCAAAAAGGCTAATAATATTTTATTGAAAAATAAGGTAAGTGCGGATGTTTTTGAAACATCCCTTAATCAAGATGCGTCTTTTCCTAATTCCATCATTGAAATTCAACACTGCGAAAAATTAAGTTTAGGAAATGAGGACTTAGTAATTTATGCTCTTAAAGTTTGAGGTCAACATATTCATAAATCACACAAGAGAGGTAGTGACAGGAGAAAGCAACTTGACTGTTTGAAAATTTTCATCAACCATGTGAGTGACTTCTTCTGAAATTACACGTAACTTTTTGATCACATTTCACATTTTTACATTCCAGTGAAAAGGGCAGTAAAAGATATACCCTTGGAGGAAATTTGACTTTGTCTCCTATTAAAACTCCTGTCAACAAAAATCCTTGTACAACTTTATGGAAAACTTCCATGGATAAAATTAGTTCTCACCTTCTTCTTCTTCATCTGAATCCACTTGTTTAAGCTTTTTGGCCCTCTTTCGGTCCACCTCATCTAACTCCTCCTCATCCTGAAATCCAAGATAAAAAATAGGTAAATATGCAAGGAAAAAAGGAAGGAATTAGAATTACCAAAAACGTACAAGGTGAATAAGACAAGACCATAAACAGACCTCATGTTGAGTTTGAAGAAAACAAAAGCACTCTCACTACTTCTGTAATTATTCGGCAGAAACCATGATAAAAAGAGATCAAAGTTCCTGGATCTGCCCCAAACCAATTTTTCCTCATTATTGGAACAGTGAGTTAGAAAAAGGAATTAAATGTAAATAGTGTTGTAGGTATAGACTGAGTAATCTCAGCTTTCACAGAGAAATTTTCAGCCTATTGACTTGAGCGGTTGAAGGGTCCCAGCGAGTAACTGTTAAAATTAAAACAAATTAATTGGCACAGCTGCTAAAGGGCAATATTTTTTTCCTATCAATATCTGTAATACCAAACATGACTAAAAACTCAATTTTCTCTGGATACCAGGCATCTGTTTGTGGGGTTCATTCTGGCATGAGCTTTCACTTGGAACGATACTGGGTAAAATCTATTAAAAAGGCTCTACAGCTGAAGTAGCAACCATGAATCACCGCTCATATATATGGTGACTGATCCTCTTTGAGCAGCACAGCCAGAGATAGTACTATATTTTAGGCACTGACAGCCATGGCCAAAGATCTGACCTCATGATACCAGAGGCCCTGGCATCAGATCATTTGGTGAAGGAACTTCTTAGGTGAAGTCTACAGTGACTCTTAACGATCCAAATTTTTGTTCTCGATGGAGAGAAAAATAAAAAAAATTTGATTTTAGAATTACTGAAAGAAAATTAAGTTGGCTTCATGTCTCTTAACCTGTAAATAGCTAGCTAGCTATCTCACTCTGACAGATCTATCAGTTCCAATGACACAAATCTTTACTTTCCTCTCCACTCCTTCCGCAAAAAGGAATACAAACATAATAGAGTTGACTCATTATCTACAGGAATAGCAACTGAGCAGAGAAAGATAAGTAGCCTTGTGTCATAACCTGGCAGGAAAAATTTAAAAAGGTTTTAAACTGAAGAGCTCCAGTCACTATGCAGCAAAAGCATTGCCACTCCTTTCATTGCTCTTTATACAAAATAATGTCGCTTTTTATGCCCCATTTCTAGATACACTCAGAATTATATTTATTCAAAAGTAAAACTTACACTGCTTTCCTCTGCCTCCGAATCAATGAAATCCGCCATGTCTAGAAAAAAAGTAAAACACTTTTACAGTGAGCAATCATCAGAATTAAATGAGTGGGCTGCTTAAAAATTAACGATTTGAGTTCCACGGTCATAAATTTCAACTGAGACAAGGAGCAATTACACATCTCTTCCCTTTTCCTCCCAATTCTAAAATGGGGGCTTTGAAGTAAGAAACTCGATTCTTTGGAGACTGAGATTCAACATAGTTTATAACTACAGCAGAAAACTTTATTTTTTAAAAGATAAAAAACCATGTTAGCTATGATTTCAGAGTTTCTTAGCTGTAACATTGAATCTGACAGCAGACATTAGTTCATGAGAGTTTTATAGTGCAACTAAAGCATGCTCCTGCCGTAAAACATTGACTAACTCCGCGTTGGACGTGCAGCAGGCCTTTGGCTATTTAAACAGCATACATATACTTTTAAATAAGATGCTGTAGGGTAACCAAGGAATGCCCAATCTCACAAGCTGCAAATTGCAGTAAACAAAAAGTAAATCTTGAGTTGTGAAGCAATTTTCAGACTAATGACCTATTTTTCTTAAAAAAAAGGGAAGGATTACACATAGTGCTGGTAGATTGGGCATTTAGCAAAGCAGGGTGCGCAGAGTTTGTTACCTTCACATATTTTAAGACTACCTTCAAATTGCAGACCATTTCAGACTGAGCGCTTCGCTATTTTCTTTGTATAAAACTTGAAATTCACAATTTCCTTCGATATGACTATTGCACTTAGCAGTTTTCCTCTGGGATGATAATGCGTACATCAGATTCATTCACAAAAAGTAGCGCTGCCCTCACACTAATTACCCCTTTTCAGGTGCCCCCACATTTGATGTGATGACCTACGGCCTTAGAAAAAGGTACAAGGAAGCCATTTTCACTTCCTTCCTTAGAATGCAGAAGAGTTAGCAAGTTGCGTGAAACTATACGAAAGGAATATGTTGAAGCAGCTTCAAATTAACATCATCCTACCTCCTCCGGCAAGGCACACTGAGACAGCAGCCCGATTGTTGAAATTTATGTTGGCACGACAAGAATCGAAAATCGATATAATACACGGCGCAGATAGGGCTGTGTCTTGTCTTATCGTGCCGACATAGCCAGTTAAAGTTTCAACAATCCGGCTGCGGGAGACATCAGAATTGTTAGGTGAACTTAGGTTCTAAAGTGCCCTGTTGGGTCATCGTCAGTCCCAGTTCCCAGGTACACGTTAAAGGAAAATTACTTAAGATGATCAGAGGTTTGGAACTGCAAAAGCCATTGGGGTAAAAAATGACCTTTCGCAAGATAGAACTATAACATTTATAACCTTGGGCCGCTTGTTATCAGTCTTATAAAATGCCAGACTGACTTGGGGAGAAGATGCCTCCATGCTGACTTCCGATCCAAGTCTGACTGTTTTCGTGCACCCTTCAAGGTGGGGAGAACAAAAGCTATTGAAAGTTGAGACCTCTGAAGGTGAAAAATATGATCGGGAATAAAAGCTGAGAGCAGAGGACACGAGTTTATATAAAAGAAAAACTCAATTTTTTTACCCCAAGCTGGGCCTTGAATAATTAGTCCAACAGGACATTCAGTTAAGATTACGAAGGCAGGAGCGTACTTGTAACCGTGTTAATTGAAGAATTACAATGTGCTGCACTCACCAATGTAAGATAAGGGAGGATTACCTCAAAAATTTGAAATATGTGGCACAACTTCACGAAATTAGATCGAATTTTATGACCAGAAGGAGAGAAGAAGTCAGAACATAAACAAAAATGGACGATGAACACCGCCACGATTACCTATTGTGGGACACTAAAATTCTCGTTCGCGATAAATGGCGAATGCGGGGATTTTTCTGAAAAGGCTCAGAAGTTTAGAAATACGTATGATGCTCAATACAATACCATTGAACTGTAGATTTTTTTACAAAAATTTTCTTTAATTTTAATCGTCTTGATTTTGCTTGCTTTCCATTCAATTTTGGCAAAAATTTTTGAAATGTGGCATAGACCGAAAATTCCCATTCGCACAGATTCTATGCAAATGGGAATTCCCTTCACCCATGCCCCTTCCCTTCCCCTCCAGATTCTGTTCATCCCTGCAGTTCATTATTCTATATGGTTCCGTCACAGATTTGAGTCCAACAAATATCCGTAAATCCGTATTTGCGTATTCTCAATTTTACAATTTTCATTTCAAATTCAGTCACGTTCGTACTATTATTCCTCTAAAATGTGTTCATTTTCATTACAAATTGTGTCTCAGTCTCATCTCCCAGTAGTCTGCCGTTTTCACCGGTGGTTTCCGTCTTTCTCTGTGCTTTTATCCTGAGAAGTGATTGGCATGAGTTTCAGCTAGAATATGTACAGTAAGGCCTCACTCCCTCAAATTATTGACTTATTATTTAACTCTGAAAGAATCATGTGACTGATTTTTATATCACATTCAACTCATGAAGAAATTTAGATAGAACGCTTGTGGACTATCTTCTTAAATTAGTTGTTTAAGTCAGTTGCGTTTTCTTTGCTAAACCATGTTTCTGCTAATTCGCACGAACTGCCTAACAATAACATTATACCATGAGTAGATTCCTGCCGGTATTTTAAATCAAGTTAATACCTCTCATCTCTGGTTTGCTTACGGATTTAGTCATGGCCGGAAGAAAGAACAAGTCTGTGGATAGTTTCTACTTCAAAACACCTCGCAATGAAAGATTTTCAGAAATGACCAAGCAAGAGCAGCTTATTGCGCAGAAAAAGCTTGAAATCCAGAGAAAGTTAGAAGAAAGAAAGCGTTCAGAGACAGCTGAAGCATTAAAGAAACTCAATGAGCCGCCTGCCCAGAAACCAAAAGCCACCTCTCCCATCGTAGGCGCAAGGTAAGACGATAATACTACTCTTTTCGAAAATGAGCAGTAACAGCTCAAGTATAGTTCAGGGTATTTTCCACACAAGATATAAATTGTCTGCAACATGAATGATTGGAGATAATGCAGTACTGTATCTATTAATGGCCATTCTCACTTAATTTAGCCCGAAATGGAACTTTTCTGCATGCGAATCCTATGGTGCTTAAACCCCCTTTTGATCTTAAATCAGCTCTATTTTGACAAATTAAGGTAAATTAGTGGTGTCAGAACTATACTCAGTGTACTTAATGTACATAGCTTATATTTTGTTGCTCTCATTCTAGTTTTAATAAACCTAACCTCTAAAACACTGATTTTACAATCAGAGCTGCGATGTTAAAGTTAACTGTTACCTGCTTCCAAACGGTTAGTGTTGTTGGACTTTGTCAGAATTACCCGATGACTTTTGTGTTTACATATGAAAGCGTAACGTTTCTTTGAAATGCTCAACGATCTCAGAAGGTCACTGGGAATGTTTAGGATACGTTTGCAAACAGAGGGAGCTAATGGAATTGGACAAGTTTACTTCGACAATGCACCTTAGCCAAAGACACACTTCGACCTTGAGGTGAATCCTCCCCGGCAGTTAACAAACCTTGATATATTGAACAAATTCTGCTAAAATACGAGTTTTGCTTCCCACTCTTCGTGATAACGGAAAAGTAATAGTGTAGAAACATACTTCAGCAATCTATCTAATCTCTTTTGAAAACCTCACACTAGAGCTACATGAAGCTAATCGCGAAATTTCCAACTAGATTTGACTAAGTAAGTAGTCGAATGTGATACTTCATGTTTAGCTTCATTTGGCTTTACTCATGGGTTTTTGAAAGAGAATTTTTACCAATAGACTGCTTAAGTATACTTCTACACTGTTTTTTCTCTGTTTTTACAAAGAGTGGAAAGTAAAACTTGGATTTTAGCAAAATTTTGTTCAGCACATCAATTTTTGTTTACCTCCTGGGAAGAATCATCTTAATATGTGCCCTAGCCTCCACATGCAGTGATCTTCAACTTTTGCCGAAAGAGCTTTTGCTGACCTTAGTGAAATCAGGATTGCTCCCAAGTTTTTGTTTCTTTTTCCATTGAGTTTAATGTTTCTGTGTAATATATGTATGTATGAGATCAAAGTTAAGCACTTTTTATCTTTTTTGTAAACTCTTAATATTTTTCTAGGAAATCAACTAACCAAAGTTGCTCTACAAATGCCTCCAGCAATATCTTTTCTAATGATGGAAGTTTCCTGGAACAGTTTAAAAAGATGGTCAATGAAAGTAAGTGTTTTTATTTTCAAATTTAAAATCTTCTAAAAACTATTTGATCCAGGGGAAGGTTGAACATAAACCAGATGCAAATGGAAAAGTTTTGGAAAGTTTTGAGCCAAATTTCAACTGGTAGAGTATAATATGAGGTGAATAATTCAGCGATTGCTGTCAGTGTGAAACTGATGAATTTATTTAGTCTGGTTTCTATGCAAAAACTGTCACTGATTTTGAGACCTAATGAATCTTTTCTCTCTTTTTCCCCGGATTATAGTTTTCAGAGAGCTAAATCTGCTATCTTGATTCTTACATTTACCTTAAATGCCATATGCAATCCTCTGTCACACTCTTAAGTCTGTCAACTCATTTTGTAGATTCTCAAATCTATTCATTGTACTCATGAATGTAACAAACACTGCTTTTGTGGACTGAATATACACATCTGACAATAATTTATCAGCAACTCCATCTACGTACAAAATAATTTAAGCTGCAATTTACTCAAAATTTTTAGTGACGAAATTCATTATTTTTGATCCTCTAAAAATGCATGAATCTAGCAGTAAGGCTCTACTTTAAGGATTGAAGGGTTAAAGGTAGAATATCCATAATTCTCGTTAGGTGTCTCTCTTTACTCTGTAACAGTAGGCCTTTCATAAATTTATGTAGATACATGTTGGATCATTTAAAATGTAAGTGTACATCAATGGCCCAAGTGCTAACCCATGTATCTCCACCTCGGTGTTTCAAAATTTCTGCTCCAATTTTATCGTTTTAAAAAAACAAGCCAACTTTATTGCTTGAAATTTGTACCAAATATTCTGCTAACAGAAAAAAATCAAGTAAGTTTTCAAGAAATTACGATGGCTAGTTTTCCAGAAAAAAGTGAAGTAGTCACGCCCAGAATGTCTGCAATGTTGTAAATGGAGACTTTTCGTTTTGCTTTTTGGCAGTCTATGTGTTATGCTTACCGGCCGTAAATTTCCTCAAATACTGTCACATGCATGAGGTATTCTACTCTATGGATGCAAGCGTGGCTGAATCAAATAAGTCATGCTGAACATCTTAACATCTACTAATAATTTTTTTTTTTCCATAGATGTTGATAAAGAAAAAGACGAAAAATCTACAGAGAAAAGTAATGGCCCACAAAATACATCAGATGGAATCATTGAAGGTAAGGAGAAATTATTTTCTTTTGGCTGAGGCCCAATGATCATATTTAAATTGACAATTGAGGCACTGGATGTGAAAAGGACACTTCTCGATTGCGGTGTTTCAGAATCTCTGTTTCTAATTAATCCCTCGGAGAAGACTTTAATGGGTGATTTTTCCAGAATTTTTTCCATAGAAATTTGTCGAATCATGAGGAATATTCAGTAAAATTTTTAGAGAAATGGATACATTCACTTTCCTCACAATGAATGAAATATTAGAGGAGACTCTGAAACACTGCAACGGAGAAGTGCCCTTTTTGCATCCAGTGCCTCAATTACAGAATTAGGTATATAGCAACCAAACTATCATAATTCAGAAATGTTGCTCCAAAACTACTGCTGCTTTTGTCAATTCATCGTATACTGCAATCATTTTACTTGTGGCATTTCATGTCTCTGCTTGACTTCTATATAGGACTTTCAGTATCATATGATATATATTCATATATTCACATATTCATCATAAGATACTGAAAGTCTCACATATACAATTTAAAACCGGGAGGTCAATGGAGCTGAGCCCCTCACCAGGTAGCTTCTGTTTCTTGTTTTATCTTGAGGCTGCGTGAACCATACTTAAGCACATCAGCTAAATGCTACTTCTTACAGGAGTGAAGTTCAATGCACATCTAATGAACTTCAAATCTGCTTAGTACCATACAGACGTGCATCACATTGTTTTAATGCTTTTCCTTTTAACTTCTTCTAGATAATCTGAGCCAACCTATGGGAGAATCTCCATCAAAAGACTACGTTGAGGAACGTAATCATAAAAAGCCCAATGATCACAATAATAAGTATGATGACTACAGAAGAAATGACTATCGATGGAATGAAAATCGGCGGAATGATGAGAACAAAAAAAGTGATGACTTCAAAAGAGATGACAAATTCAGAAGAAATGAAGACAGTAGACGAAATGATGATTGCTGGCGGGCAGATGACAATAGGCGTAATGACAGAAACTATGATCATGGAGATCGCCGGAGGAGGTTTGAAAATGATCGCCTTGATAACAGAAATCGCAGATATGATCGGGATAGAATGAGACATGATAGCGACAGAGACAGGCGGTATGATAATTATGATGACTACAATCACAGTAGACGCTATGATCGATATGATTCCCAGAAAAATTACTATGATGATAATGATCAGTCAAGAAGAAATAGTTGGGACAACTCGCCCTCTTTTAATGAAAATAAATATAGCTGTAATAACTCAGAACGAATTGAACGAAATGTTCCACCATGGGAATCTAATGCCTTAAAGAATCAGCAACAACAACAATCTCTAGCTAATTCTTCCATTATTCAGTATCAGCCAACCATGACGGTTCCTGTATCATCCATTATTCTATCATCTACTGTGCCTGTACCTGTTTCAATAACAACCTATGTTTCTAGTTTGCCTGTCACACTTCCGACTGATTCAGTAACGTATCCATCTGTCCAAATTCAGCCTGACACAACTGTACCTGTAATTACACAACAAATTCCAATCCAACAGCAGCCAAGTCTCATTTTACAGCCAATAAATCAGCAGCAGGTTTCTATCAATCAGCCATCATCTGGGACATCTATAGCACTATCACAAACTCCAACCTTAGCTCATGTAGCTCAGCCAGCTTCCATGACACATGTACCGCAGCCCTCTACCCTGATAACGGTACCGCAGTCTTGCCCAGTGTCGTCTATGCAGCAGTCCTCAACACTGACCCCTGTCCCTCCACCTGTATTAAATGCAGCAGCTCCCTCTATGAATACCCTCTCTGTACAACCTGGTACGCAAGTTGTCCAGCAGTGTCAGGGCACACTTATTTCCCAACCACCCCCTCTGTCCCAAACATCTGTTCAGCCCTCCTCTTTGCTTCCTCAAACTTCAATGCAAGTCCAGCAGTTCTCCACTTCAAACTCTATCTTATCTCATTCCATTCCTCCATCCAACAATATGAATCCTCATCCTGTACCTCCTCCTTCTCCTCTAAACCCACACTCATTACCCCCTCCTTCATCTTTGAACCCAAACCCTCATGCTGTTCCTCCACCATCATCTATGAATTCTCATTCAGCACCCCCACCCTCATCTCTAAACCCTCACCCTCATTCAGTCCTGCCCCCATCCTCTATGACCTCTCATCCTGTTCTTCCTCCATCATCCATGAATTCCCACTCTGCTCCATCATCGGCACTAAATCCGCATCCTCTCCTTCCTACATCCTCTTTAACACCTGCAGGTGCACCTCCTTCCTCCCCTATGCCCCATTCAGTGCCAGCGTCCTCAATGAGCGGTCTGGCTGGGCCTCATCCTATCCCACCCCCCTCTCTCAATCCACATCCTGTACCACCCCCTTCCTCCATCAATCCTCATCCAGTACCTCCACCTCCGGCTGTTAATCCACTTTCAATACCACCTCAATCGTCAATGAATCTTCTCTCAGTTGGAGGGCAGCCTTCAATGAGTCCTCTGTCAGCTCCACAATCAACCAATGTTTCAACCCAGTCTATGAATTCTCACTCTCTGAATCCTCAAAATGCTCTAGGCTCCTTACCAGCTCCCTCCATGGGCGCACCCACCTCTATACCTCCCCCTATTTCATACCCCATCACCTCCATGCCTCCGATTGGAACACAGTTGGCATCTGGTCCACCACCGTCAGGACCCACCTCTGCACAAAATTCAATCCAGTCGGTACCTCCGCCACCAATGCAACCAACACAGCAAGCAGTTTTCAACCAGCAGACAGGTGTCGTTCCTGATATGTCCGTCCCTCCACCAGTCGTCATGTCTGACAACAGTCCATTAAAAGCGAACAAAATTGAGAATCCTGGAGGTAAATACCATTTCTCTGGTGTAATTTCTCTCTCCTCACAATGAATTTTGCTGTTGAAACAAGATTAATTTTTCCCCCATACTAAATAATTTGGAGGCCAATCAAAATTCAAAAAAACGGAAGAGTCTATTCTGGTGCAAAATGAAGTTATAAATCACTATCTAAGAACTGACTTTGAAGATTCAGTTTTTTGCCTCAGTAATTCTTGGCTCATCTTCTTTTGCCACTTGACTTGTAGTATTTATAATGCTAGTTACTCTCCTGCATATAATTCGTTCCAGTTTAAAGAATTAATTATCGTTTAGTATTTGGTCTCATCATTTTTCTATACTCTTTGTTCAATACAGCAATTTTAGATGTAAAGTAAAATTTTAAATGAAAGAAATTTTCAACAGAAAAGTTTGAAATCTGAATATCAGACTATTTTTCAAAAGGAAGTTTAAATTAATACTTTTTGTGGTTAATTTTTCACTAAATCTCAAATTGGAACGAATGCAACACAACCTGCAAACCAAATCTACTATGTTGTGCACTAATATCCTTATACCGTCATAAAAAATCTTATTTATAGCTATTGATTTGATTCTAAATTATTGTTTCAGATGTGATGATTGACATGTAATTTAATTCTTGCAAACATATGTAATCTGCTAAAAGCTTTTGTCTCATTTTCAATATTATCAGACCCAAAGGACAAATGTTTAAAACTCTCCAAAAATTTTAAGAACTATATAATACTGAAGCAATTTAAAATTCGTAACAAGTGAAGGCTACCTGAGAATTATTAGTGCTTCATCCCATCCCTAAACTTCAATCTAACAGATAAGAACAATTTTTTAGAAATTTCAACTCAAATATGTGGGTGTGAATTTTTGAGTAGTATGGTTTGCGGTTGGTGTTGCCTATATCAGGAGGGAATATGTCTGAGAGCAAAATGTTGATTTTACTTGGAGTATTCTAGCTCACAGATCCGCTGAAATGGAGCAAATTGCAGTGATCGTTGCTCAGCAAGGTGATGGAATGGAGGAAGTTTTGCTTCAAGAAAACCAGCATGATCCTAATTACTGGTGAGATGCTTCAGTTATTTATTTTTCACTCAGTAACCTTACTTTGAATCAGATTTGCGCATATATCCACCCACCCAGCAAAAAGTGGTCAATAAAACATCGTCACAATGTTACTGCCAAAGTTTCAATAATGTTATTACTGTCGGTTGTTAATTGGGTGAAATCCCTTTTTCCTTTTGAGTTTTCTACACCGGGAATACTCTTCATTTTTTATCATTACAATGTGCCTGAGATGGAGTATGGAGATTTATCAATATGGAAACCACCAAATCGTGCGTAATGTCTTTTCTCGGTGTTTTTTTTTTAGCTTCTGAGTGCGGGTATTATATTATTTAAAGGGATAAGTATACTCAATGTTGTATGTCTTACTTCCGCAGCAATATCTTGCAATTTTTTTGGTTTACACATCACATAAATCACATGAAAATGCAACACACTCCTAATGGGGGACGGGAAACGCGTTTAATTATTGAATTATCTTTTTCTCTCTACTCACACTCTATATGCGTGCACAAGGGTTTTTTTTTTTTTTTTTTTTTTTTTTTTTAACCTTGAACATTTTCTTGAGTCATCTTCACCTAATTGTTTATTTTTTAATTTATGTTAGTTCAAAAACCAGATTGATCGGGACTCTGAAGCAAGATCCTAAGACCTAGGTTAATGTGACAACTTCCCATTTTTTAATAGGCATCAAAGATTATAGTTTTTGAAGTAGTTTTAAGTTAATATTTTATCAAGTCCTGGTTCAAAACTTTGAAATTCTAATTTTAAAACTTCAAAATCCCTCAGAGGGTTGAATGTAGGTAACCATTTCCTTGTTTGCTGAATCTGAAAACCAAACATTGTTTAAGAGTCCAGTTCTCTGGAGCATTTACATTATTTCCTCAATTCATAGTCTAACGTATAACATAACCGATGACCTAAAATCCAATAAACTCAAAGTATTAAGCTGAAAACTTCACTTTATCATTGATGTCCCTTTAAATTGTCTCGTCCAATCCCGAATTACATGTTTATGGTCTCTGGACACTCAGTTTGCTCTTGTACCCTCTAAAGTTAATGAGTGATATTTTTTTCTTTGCTGATTTTAGTTATTTCAATGTGCTTGCGCAAGATTTCAGGGTGGTTATTTTTTTATCGAATGATTTTATCTTTTTGGCACCTTATTCAAACATTTATTGTCCTTAGGTTTCTTCAAGACAAGCAAAGCTATGGGTATCAAGAATTCCGCCAGCTTGTTGAAAAGTTGCGTTCCAATCCACTCAGAAGCAACCCCATCAAAGTGGAGCAATCAGAGTATGAAGAAAGTAGTGAATATTGTGGAATAGTCATAAAAAAAGAGGCTCTGTCTGAAAACAGTTTAAAAAGAGAATCCGATGGTATGTTTTTCATCTTTAAGATCAATATTGCTACCAAGTTTCATCTCAATTTTGAAGAAAATAGGGGATCACTTGTTGTATGGGAATGGTTAGAGAATGACATCCTTTATTGAATACACTCTGTTTATGTAATGTGTATGGTTAAAATTATGTTTTCCCGTCATACGCACTCATAATACCAAGTTAAAATGAAAAAAAAATTCTTAATATTTTCAGGTTTCTACAAAGACACAACAACTAATCAGTGTGTATAATTTGCAGCAATTATCAAGTATTTGGCAAATTTAATGCTTTGAGGATGAAAAAATGGAATATTGTAATGTTTCTGAATCATTCATAGACTCTCTTTAATTACCATGTTTCCTTTAAGTTTTTCTAAATAGTATTAATCTTGATGTTTTAAGGTAATTCTTCAAATTACTTCAGATAAGAACACAGTCTTTCATCTATTTTATAAACTTCTTTTATTCTTTTTTAAATTTTAGATAAAGCTGATAGAAATGAAAGGAAAAAGAAAAGGCGTAGTCGATGGGCACCCGAAGACTGCAAAGTCAATTTATCCACACCAACTCTACTTCCCACGGGTGCAGTTCCACCTCCAACTTTAACTCCCATTATCAACACTAAAGATTTACCTGGTTAGATTTTACATATTTCACTATTATAAAAATTCTGCACTGCTTTCACTGCCATGTCTTTACTTCGCTACTGAAGTAGTAATAACCCAGAGAAATACTTACAAGCATGATTTGTGATCTAAAGAATTATTCATCACTCATTTTAACCTACCTCAAACATCAAAACATTCATTAAGCGTGAATGAAGAGAATATCTTGAATCACACATTTGTTGTGTCATGTCAACATGTTATAAATAAAGAGGATCATATTGCATGAAAGTGAAAGTCTAATTTATCTGATAATGACAATCACCATCTAATATAGAAGTATTAAAATTTATTAACTGTTTTGTTTGTTAGTCTTGTGATTTGGAAGGCTTCTCATTAGCAAAAACCCGACTTGTTTTTCAAACAATGAGCCACTACTCAGGGTCTGAACTAAAAAAAAAAAGTTTTGAGATTCTCCTCAAAATCTTCAATTAAAGGGAAGTTAGATTATACAGGTGATATCATTTGTATTTTTGCCGTCTAACCAATGCAAATTGTTAACACTTTCATCGTGTTTAGTTGTTCATTTCCTAACTTCCTGTCGTTTGATTTGTTTTCTACATTAAATTTTCTGTGAAAACAAGTTGAATGGTGCTTCCATTCATACCTTGTCTAAAGGCCCCTCGGAACCCAGAGCTTCAACTAGGTAATGATATCTAATTTATTTATGTTTTTTTTTTTCTTTCTTTTTTTCGAACCCATATTTTCTCCAAAAAACCTATGCCGAGTCAAACTTTACTCATTCTTCCTCTAAAACGTTCAAAGGTACTGTCAGATAGCCCCCTAATAAAGGAGCACATAATGTAATGGAGCTCTTGAATGCGTGAGGGATTCGCGATTTTTTTTGTATTCAATTTCTTGTCACCATTTGTTATCAGGTTTAATGGTTGTTTTCCCTCTTTTTGATAGGTGTTTCCGGTGCAATGATTAGCCAAGTGCAGCGAAGGGATCCAGCTTTATTACAGTATGCCAGACAGTCCTTTGGTACCATAAACTTGTCGGAAGAGGATTGGAAGAAGTGTGAAGATCATTATAAGGTGCTTCATTTACTCCCGAGCCTACTGCTCCTTTCTCATTTTAAAAATGCCACCTTCATTTTAGTAAATAAAATTAGCCGTAATCCTTAAATAACTTAGCGCAAACATCAACATTACTCTGTTATACAACTCGACTCAATTTAATATTTTCCAATTATGCTCATGTACATATACTCAGGTGGATTTTTCCTGTGGTTCATTTTCTTTTCCGTAGATTCAAACAGTCTCGAGCAAGTGAGCATTCATGCACATTTCACCGAGTGCAAATCTCAATTATTGTTGAAATTTACTTCAATTAATCCAAAAATCAATGCCGGCCTCCTGTGGTGTAGTGGTTGTAGTGCTGGCCCTATGACCAAGAGGTCCCAGGTTCGATTCCTGGCCAGGTGATCTGAGTTGGATGGTCTCAGGCAATGGTCACCTGGGGCTGGGGTAATAAGCGTGGGATTAGCCAATAGGCTACTTGAAATTGGTAAAAAAAAAAAAAACTTGAAAGCTGCTCTCAAAAAGAACAAGCAGAATCCTGATTTCTCCTGGTACAATGATTAACACTCTCAAAAGCTTGTAGTAATTCCATTATAAAACTGTCGCAATGGGGAATTCATCTGAAACTCAAGTTTTTGTTGTGAATATAACTTGAAGATTTTAAGAACCTCTCAGGTAGCTAAAAGGGTTCCAGTAGTCTTAGCAAATGGAAAACAGCAAAGATAGAGCCTTTTTTCTGCTCTACAAGAATATTTGATTTTTTCCCCACCTGTACTTATTTTCCTGTTCACTTTGTGTAGACAGTCGGTGGTCAGAGTGAAAATCCACTAGTTAATTTCTTTGCTCTGGGTTGAATGAATTCTCATTATCAGCACAAAAATTGTAACCATCCTAGCCCTAATGGCAGTTATCACTGAGTTGGTAGTGTTGCTAATCGTATCTGTTTAAAAGTAGAGAAAAAAGATGAAAAATTCTGAGGGAAGTGGAGGAAGTTCCACGAAAATCATATGCTTTAATGTATGATTTGAGAGAAGTCCTGAATTTTTAAACTTTTTAATTTAGATTTCCTAAGAAAATGTTTCATTATCTTTCCATTTTATCAGTTTTTATCAGAGTCTTAACTTCCGTGTAATAGTTGGAAAAATTGCCGTGTGTTAGTCCAACTTAGCCAACTTAGCTATTGTTTTTCCTTTCACATGGAGTACACTTTTTTTCGTTTGGAATCTGTTGTAGATAAACCTCCTGTATCAAGATATGTTGCGAAAAAGAGAAGAAATTGAGAAACTTCGAGCAGCCGGCAAATTCAAGTATGAATATGACAGTGATGAAGAAACTGAAGGAGGCACGTGGGAGCACAAGCTTCGTCGCGATGAGATGGTCGCTACACAGCTATGGGCAGATGAACTGACAGAAAAAGCGAAGGGAAAACATCACATAGGTGATTTTCTTCCTCCGGATGAATTAGAAAGATTCATGGAGAAGGTAAGTTTTCTAACGGAGGCATTTAGACTTTAATTGAAAAATTTAATTTTAAGAAAGCTCAATTGAATAGGTCAGTTACAAAAGGGCTCAAGCGCCAGTCATAAAAATCCGAGAAAAACAGTAGGAACTGTATGATCCAACCTGTTTTAAATTGCAGATTAATTAATAATGTGATTAATTAATTCATAGCTTTAATATTTTAGAGCTCTTGAGAGTTAGAAGGGGTCGATTAAAACGGTTACTACCATTTTTCTCGAAGTCTCATTTTGGCGCTTGAGCCCTTGTGTAACTGACCGCTTCAATTAATTACGGAAATTCAAAAAATTACCAATTATGTTTCCTTCTCTTCAAAAAAAAATAACTATTTTTATTATTTCCCTGCAATTTTGTATTATTTCCTTAGAATGAGTGAAGGAAATTCACAGATAAGGCCAACAAAAATTGTTCGTTGAAAAAAAATTAATATGTGAGCTGAGACGTACAGTGTCACACTAAAAGATGTGCATTTCAAACTATAACTCTCAATGCCAAGATTAATCCAAATGAGGCAGCTGCTCACAAGAAATACAGCATAATGATCAGAATTTTTGTAGGTAAAATCACAGAAAAACACCTGAACACATCACAATCATCCAGAATCCATTCCTTAGTGCACTCTTTATGCACAGAGGAATCTACGTATTAAAGTTTCCTCATAGTTTCCTTTCCTTTCTTCTGATAATGTCTTTTGGTTTTTTTTTCTTCTCCTTTTTTTTTGTATGTATCCTCACAGAAGATCTAGAATAGGAAATTGTTAAAATCTAAAGTAAAATCTATTTGGAGTATTATGTCATCACCCTTTTAAGGTGGGTACCGAACAAAGAAACAAATCCAGCAGAAGGTTCTTTATTCTCAATCTTTTAGTCATTACCTTTATAGATTGTATGCCATAACTTTAAAAACAGTCTCTGATTGTACTCTCTTCTGTTCTTTAGTATAATGCACTGAAAGAAGGACGAGAACCAGATCTCTCAGACTATAAAGAATTCAAGTTGAGGGAAGACAACATCGGTTTTCAAATGCTGCAAAAACTTGGCTGGAGTGAAGGCAAGGGTCTTGGCTCTGATGGAAGTGGCATAGTTGATCCTGTCAATAAGTAAGAACCAGTTTTTATCATAGCTGCATCTGAACATGTTATCACCATGAGTGTCTTTCTTTTTGCCTAAGTCCAGATCATAAGGGACCAGTCTAAGTTTCTTATCTATTTTATGGACAAGAGCTGATAAGGATGTTCTGTACTTGCTTTTATTTCGTAACAACCAGGCATTTGAGGCGCCTCATGAGGTTATGCTGTACAGCATCAACTCGTAGCTTCAGCATCAATGCCGTATGCCCAGGTAGCGGCCGTTCGGGCATACGGCTCCGAGCCTGATGCGCTCAACCTGCCGGCCGCCGGCTTCGGGCATTGAAGCCCGATGCTGGAGAGCCGACCGAGCCAGCCTCAAGCGCTGATGCTGAGGTTTGATGCTGGCTCATGGGCCTCAGCGGGCCTCAGCCTCTGCGGCCGGACCGTCGGCTTGCGGCCCGATACGGCCTTAATTTTCGGACCCGCCACCCAGCTTAATTACCGACGGGGCTGTCCCAGAAGACCGCGACCCTCGGACTCGGCGATGAATTCGCGGAACACCCCTTTGTTTACGTTTCCCATCGGCGCGGTGGCCCACGCCTCGTCTCATCGTCTCGCCAGGAGGACACCTCTTTTTCTCGCCGATCTCGTTTGAAATCGAAAGTCCCCCTTCCCCGGTCGAGAACTTGAGAAGTCG